GGTTCTCTAAGGCTGGTTGGCAGACTCTTGCTGTCCTTATTTTAAGTGGTCTTAGGCAGGCAGAAACAAATAAAACGAAGGCAAGTAATCCCTACAAGACTAAAGGCCAGGTGTGGGGTCTGTCGCTCAGTGGTTAGGGCACCAGCCACATATACTGAGGCTGGTGGGTTTGAGCCCAGGCCTGGCCTGCTAAACAACAGTGACAATTGCAACAAAAAAATAGCCAGGCGTTGTGGTGGGCACCTGTAGTCCCAGCTACTTGGGAGGCTGAGGCAAGAGAATCGCTTAAGCCCAAGAGTTTGAGGGTGCTTTGAGCTGTGATGCTAGGGCACTCTGTGGAGGGTGACACAGTGAGACTCCATCTCAAAAAAAAAAAAAAAGAAAAAATTATTTTGCAAGGCGAAGGCTGATAATTCATTTGAGATGATGCTTAGGTGATGCTATTTGTGAATTCTTTTTGTTTTGTAGAGACAGAGTCTCACTATGTCACACTATGTAGAGTGCACTAGTATCACAGCTCACAGCAACCTCAAATTCTTGGGCTTAAGCGATTCTCTTGGCTCAGCCTCCTGAGTAGCTGGGACTTCAGGCACCCGCCAAAACGCCCAACTATTTTTTTGTTGCAATTTGGCCGTGGCCAGGTTTGAACCTTCCACCCTCGGTATATGGGGCCTTCACCCTACTCACTGAGCCACAAGCGCTGCCCAGAATTCTTTACTTTTGTTCCAAACAAGAAGAGTAAATCATAGGTATGGATAACTGAGTCAGGGGCGGTGGCTCACACCTGTAATCCTAGCACTCTGGGAGGCTGATGTGGGTGGGCTGCTGAGCTCAGAGGCGGGGGTCTCACTCTGGCTCAGGCTGGCCTCTAACCGTAAGCTCAGGCAATCCACCTGCCTTGGCCTCCCAGAGTGCTGGGATTACAGGCATGAGCCACTGCCATTAATATTTATTTATCTCTTTATTTAATATTTATTCTTCTCCACTAAACTGAAGTTCTTTGAGGGATTTTAAATTATGTAAGTTTCAACAAATAATAGTACCTGGCATAAGTATTAAATGAAATAAAGGTTTAAGGCCACCTTTGAGGAAAGGAAATAGATGTATGATGTTTCAGTACTAAAAACTTCTTCTGCAGTAAAACTGGCCTTTTTCAGAAAACAAATGCATAGACTCAAAGTAGTTAAGACACACTGGACATAAAATTTGTAACATTTATTTAGGCAAAAAAAAAGTTCCAAACCAAAAATCTGTACACACAACATTAATACTTAAGTCATGTCCTGATTTAAAATAAAGCATGATTCATGTACAGAACACTCCCCTTCATCTGGCCATAGTGAGAACAGTGCCATCAGTCCAGATAGTTGAGAGTCTTTGAAATGTACATACATTATACTTTCCAATGAATTTTTTATATCCTAAAAGCAGTTAAACTTGTCCATCAGAATTTAAGTAAAAGATAGCTTTTCTAACGTTCACAGTCAGTGAGAATTTATCAGTGGGAAATCTACAAAAGTCAGGGATTTTCAAAATTTTATTGTTGCAGATTATCTAAGAATATAAATCTTGACATAACATCCTCCCATTTTTAAAGGAAAAAATGCAATAGCCGGGTGTTGTGGCGGGTGCCTGTAGTCCCAGCTGCTTGGGAGGCCGAGGCAAAAGAATCGCCTAAGCCTAGGAGCTGGAGGTTGCTGTGAGCTGTGATGCCACAGCACTCTACTGAGGGCAATAAAGTGAGACTCTGTCTCTAAAAAATAAAATAAATAAATAAAGGAAAAAATGCTCTTAACAATTTCCTGCTTTGGCTCCGTGCTCATAGCGTAGTGGTTACAGCACCAGCCACATACACTGAGGCCAGTGGGTTCAAACACAGCCCAGGCCAGCTAAACAACAATGACAACTGCAACAAAAAATAGCCAGGCGTTGTGGCGGGCGCCTGTCATCCCAGCTACTTGGGAGGCCGAGGCAAGAGAAATCGCTTAAGCCTAAGAGTTGGAGGTTGCTGTGATGCCATGGCACTCTACTGAGGGCAACATAGTGAGACTCTGTGTCCAAAAAAAAAAAA